AAAAAAAAAAAATGTACGATCCTTACTTTTCTTTTTTCTCAGAAGATAACACGGTTGCTTGCCGTACGTATTCTTTGAAATTATTTTCCAAAGTCTCTCCAGAATCCTGAAGATCTCTTACAATCGCGTCGGAAGTTTCCAATTTGAGTCGCAAAACATACAACTCCTGTCGATAATCCTCATTCTCTTGCTTCATCTTTTTATAATCATCCTGACTGATCATGCTCTTTTCTAGATGTTCCTCGATCTTCGTGTTATTCACACTCTCACCATACAATTCTGACATCTCGAACCTTTTCCCAAATTTCTTTTTCTTCTTTAATGATACTTGGTTTCTTCTGGAGCAAAGTATAACGTGGAACAACAGTGTGACTATTTAAATTTTGGTAAGGTTAGTTCAAATATTTTGAATTTCGGTTAGATCCGTTAGATCACAGATATGTAAAAAGATAGATTCGGCATTGCATGTTACACAACGATCAAAAGAGAGAAAGATGATTAGTAGAAAGGAGAAAAAGTTTAGTTGGAAAAGAAAGATGAACAAATGATTGGTTGTGCCATTTTGGCTAAAAACATGCGATTGATTGTTACATCGATAATACGCTGTTATTGGACAATATTAAAATAAGTGTGTTGCTGGCTTTATTCTGCAAAGGTTACACCACCGAGATATTAAAGACGGTTGGTCCTGGGCAAATTTTCGTGAATATCAATAGAGCCTCGAGAATTCGGGGATAATAGAAGAACGATGACATTATCGATAATTGATATAAGTTTATGATTATATACTAACTTATACAAAACATTTATATAATTTTTATCTAAAAATAGTATTTTTTATATAAATATTATATAAATATTTGGATAATATATTATTAAATTTTTTGATCTTTTGTTATGTAAATATTACATAAATAAATTTATATTCTATTATATACTGATTATATATAATACATTGCGGAAAAATTACAATTTTTTTATCTGCAGTTATCATTTCTATTGATCTTTGGATGATAACATTATAATCATAGTTTTAAATAAAAATCAAGTATTATTGAGTTTTAAATGTATATATATATATGTCTATCAAATTAACAAATCATAAAGTTAATACAATATTATGAGTTTTTTTATGCTTAATCATTTAAAACCTGCCATTTTTAATACATTTAATACTCGTTGATAGTTGCACTCACAATCATTGTAACTAGAGACCCTCTAATAAAAGTTTAGACACAAGCCGCATTTTATATGCAGGGTCTCTAGTTTTGACAAAATCACAGCAGAGAAGATATTCTATCTATCTTTTTTATCTCTTTCTCTCTCTCTCTTTCTTTCTTTCAGGAGTTGTCAAAGCATGGCGGACCAATCAGAAGTAGTTGTTTCGTGTTCCGGACTTTTATCAGAGGTTCTCAGTTGTAACTCGTTCGAACGTTTCGATATTTCGAGAATCGCAGTTCGATATATTTTGAATGACCATAATCGCGAAATTTAAATCTCATTTGAATTTAAAAAATCCCATTTGAATTGAATTAAAGTGAATAATCTTATTTCAACAAAATTAACATGAATAACTCTCAGAGCTGTTGAATAGTTAACGCATCGCTATTATTATACACGTCGATACCGTGATGAATGATTTACGATCAACGATTCAATTTTTAGAATTTGTCTTAAAAATTTTTCTGCTGAGTAATGTAAAACAAAGTTGTAACAGTGAGCTTTTTACATCAAATGTTTTAAAATCTGCGCTACAAAAGCGATTAAAAAGTTAACAAGAGCCAACCGCGTTAAGCCTCAACATTTTCTTGTAAAAATAACTCAGTTAAATTTTTATTAACAGTGATTATATATATATATATATATAACGATGATTAACTTGTCAAGTAATAATACATTGTTTTATCAATGGAATAGAATCATTAATACCTTGCTGTTTTTTATGGACAATATATTATATACTAATTGAGAAACGTTGCTTTAAATAATTCTACAGATTCGATTACTTCTTAATCATCAATGAAAGTAAATCGAAATAGCCTTTAGAAGAAACTGTTGACGGAAAAGCAAGGTGATGTAGCATTGAGTATTCGCCTAGGCATACTTCTCTCCCCTTTCATCCGCCGACGCGTCAAAGCCCCGAGAGTCCCTTTGCTGTCCGGCGCGTCGCCCCCACCAGCGGCGCCTACTTCGGAGCCACTGGCTCGCCAAGGAGCAACAGGCTGACGCCACTCGCCTTGGCTTGGGTTAGCTCGAGGCGAGATCCGACACTGCGCAGCGACAGGGGAAAAGAGAGAGAGAGAGAGAGAGAGAGAGAGAGAGAGAGAGAGAGGGAGGGGGAAAAGAGAGAAAGAAAGAGAGAAAGACAGATACTGCTTTTTCCCGTCCGTCCGGAGGCTCACAGGCCTCACCACAGCACAGCGGAGCGGAGCGCAGAGTTGCCAAAGCTGCGGCATCATTAGTGCGACGCAGGTTGTTGCCAGATCGCCGCCAGCCGAGTGAGCAGAGTCGACGTAACACAGCGACGAGGTATCAGAGCCATTCTCGTCGGATCGGAGCAGCAGTTCTCGCACGGAGACCGAGACGGTGTGTGGCCGAGTCGCGACTCTTTCAGAGGAGAATAAGCCCGTGCGTCTCCTCCTCCTCCTCCTCCTCTTCCTCCTCCTCTTCCTCCTCCTCCTTATCCTCAGTCCTCACGCTCCCCCGCAATCCGCATGCCGCGTCGCGTTGAGTCGCGGCTCGCGATCGCGACTTCCTCAAAGTGCTCCTCTTAATGCTCGACGAGCCTCGGCCATCCGGCCGTCGCGCTTCCGCGGTGCCATAAATCCGTTTTGCGTATCATGTTCCTCGCCGTCGCCGTCGCCGCCGACGTCGTCGTTATACCTCACAGTGAAGTATCGAGGAACAGTGGAGCGTGAGGAGATCACGAAAACGACGACAGTGAATTCGTTCACTTGACGAATGTGCATCGCGCCGTTCCGGGGAATCTCAGGAGGAGATTTGTTGAACGACACGTACGACAACACATCGAGTACGACGTCGTGCGTTATCGTCGAATTGCTAGACGAACGCTCAACGCAGGCAGTGAGCGAGCGGTAGGCGGGATCTCTGGAAGATTGAGAGAGCGCTCCTTCCCTCTCTCTCTCTCTCTCTCTCTCTCTCCGTTTCTCTTACTCTTTTTTTCTCAGGTCTCGTTTCCTGTGCTCTCGCACTCGTCACGTGTCCACTCAGGTAGGGCGAGTCGTATCGTCGGAGAGGTGGAACCGATTCTCCGACAAGAGTGACTCTCGCAGTCTCGAACAGTGTGGGCTACTCGTAACACCGAGATTAACAGAGATCGGGGAAGCGATCTGTGGAGCGCGGAGTGTGGAGATTGTCAGGGCGGAGGGTAGTGAGAACTGAGAGAGACTATCCCCATCGGTATCGCGGGGAAGGCTGCTGGTGCTCAACAGCGACGACGGTGACGGCGGCGACGGCGACGGCGACGGCGACGGTGACGGTGACGGTGACGGTGACGACGGCGGCAATCACGGCGTTGTGTATTATTCTATCGCGTACAGGTGGAAAAGGAAACAGTGATTTTTTTATAGGAATGAGACGATCGTAGGGAAAGAAAGGGAGAGACGGAGTACGTGTTCGTGTGCGGGTGATACGACGCACATAAGTAACGCGTCGTGAAGAAGAAGGTGATCCGCGGAGCAAAGTCGGAGCTCGGAGCGCGGAAGCGGCGAATAGATAGGCGCAGAAAGAGCGACGAGGACGTAGTGATACGAAGAGGGAAAGGGAGAGGCGAAGAGGACGTAAGCAACAGGCAGAGGAAGAGTAGTAAGAGAGCAGCGAACGTGTGATCCAAAATGGCGCTGAATCAAGACGTGGACCAGTTGTCCAAGAGTAATCCCGTCGTCAGGGTCGACCAGAATTCCGAGTCCGATCTTCAGGCTCTCTTCGACACCGTCCTGAAGCCCGACTCGAAGCGGCCGTTGCAGGTGCCGTTGCGCCTGCGCAACCTGCCGGATTCCTTCTTCAATCCACCGTCCACCGGTAGCAAAAGCCCCTCGATCTCGCACTCGCGCGAGAACTCGGCGGATTCCGCGTTCGGTGCCGCTGTCCCTGCGAC